TACTATGATCAAATCATTATATCAGCAACTTCAGACTCTATGGACTCAACAGCGAAAACATTTATGTCAAAAGTTCAAGCCTCTGTCGTTAAAGTTCCAGACAGTGAACTCATTGAATTTCTTCAACGTTACATTCGACGTAAGAGGAAATATTATGCCATCGTAGAGTTCATACAGTCAGGAATGCAAAAGACTTCTGAGGAGATGGAAAGAATTATTGACAAACACACTTACGTCAATACTCAGGAGTTTACGATATGAAACGACTTACAAACTACATTCTGTCAAAACTTTCAAAATACCCCTTCAAAAAATATCCTTCAAACACTCTGCTCGTTTGCGACGACTTCGCCGGAAAAGGTTTAGTGTCAAAACCAGACTCACCATTAGCTAACATCATTACTAAAGTCAGACATTACCATTTAACTGTAGCAATACTTATGCAAACATGGAGGTTTTTAGCTTTAAACATAAAACGTCTCATAACTGACTTCGTTATCTTTCAAGGTTTCTCACGTTATGATATTGAACTTATTTGGAAACAGTCAGGTATAACATTACCTTTTGAAGAAATTTGGGAAGCATATAAGTCTCTCATCTCTCCTCGTTCATACCTTGAGATTCATATCATGACTAATCCATTAAAGTCAAAAATATTCCATGGGAACGACCAACATTGTTTTAAAGTTTAACCTTCAATTGACTGATGGTAAACAAATTCCATGCATCTCTGTCGCCATTTCTGTTAATATTTTTGCTGTCATTCATATCATCCACTTCCCATCCGTTAGCTTTTGAGGATATGCGTTAGAATAGCTGTTCTTAAATGAAGGCTTTTCACCTTTGAGAGCATAAACTCTATAACTTTCTGCATACTTTATGTTTGAACCTCCTGAGCCATCATTGACATAAATTTTTATAGGCTTCCACCCTTTGTTCATGTTCCTGCTTCTTCCCTTAGCTCTTTTGTTCAGTAGTTCACATCTTTATACACAGCACCTGTCTCAGTGAATTCAACAATATTTTCATTCGTTAGCTTTACATTCAAACCCTTGTCGAGTATATTGTTCATTTCATACATATAAAAGGTTTTTATTCTATATGAAATGAGAAGCAAATCCATCTTAGCTGGTGCCGTTAATGTTCCAATTGAACCAACATCAAATGTTGACTCACGAACGACTGTAATGCATGAAAATTCGGTTCAATTCATTTTTGACACTTTACATATCGGATGTATTATCTAAGAATTATATTATAAAAATAATAATTTTGTGTTTTATAAGTTTATTTGTATAAATTGATTCAAAAAAATGGAAAGACAAGAAGTGGATCTGCCAAATGAAAATCAGATTTATATTACGGCATATCTTGAATATTCTATTGGCAAAAAGACAGCAGACCAAGTTGCAAAAGATTTGCACATAGGTAGAAAAAAATTATTATTAAAATGGCAAGAACTTGGTTTAATCCAAAAAGCTCGGAAGACCAGAAACTCCTCTTAGAACAGATTTGTTTACCAACATTCACGAAATAAAAGCTAAGTACAATCTAGGTTATAAAAAAGTTTTAGAGAGTTTACATACATGATGACACAGTTTCATTTCACGATATGCTTAAATTATACGAAAAAGAGAATCTTTTCAAATTTCGGCGAGATCCAGAAAAAATTGATGAACATCCAAATCAGTATGTTTCCCAATACGTAATCAGCAATGGCATACTGATTTAAAAAGCTTCAAAGAAGAGACAAATGGTACCAAGCATACTTATCATTTAATTGCCTTTATCGATGACAGATCTCGTTTTTGTATTTATTACGAAATTCTTCCCGATAAAACAATGAAATCAACTTCAAAAGCTTTACAAAATGCTATCGACTCTATCAAAATTATTCCATACGAACTTTTGACAGATAATGGATGCGAATTTACAGGAAAGGACTTCAAAAACGTTCTTCAAGTAAATGGCATTCAACACCATCGGACAGAACCTTACACACCACAGTTAAATGGTAAAATAGAACGTTTTTGGCAAACAATCTTTTCGGCTCGCCCAGATTTTATCGAAATAAGAGAATTTTTACCTCACGCAATAGAAGAATACAACACAGTATGGGTTCATACAGCTCTTAAAGATCTTTTCGGTGGAAAACCTACTCCAAAATCAATTTGGGACCAGGGTCCTAAATGGACAAAGGACTTAAACCCAAATCCTGAGTTCGAAATACAGCCTCGTAACTAAAAATAAAGTAAAAATACGAATAAACATTTTATTATAATTTAAATAATTTTTTTATTCATAAAGTAATACGATATATAGCTAAGCTATGTAAGGATATTCTGATGCTGAGAGTTTAAGAACTTTAAATTACGTATAGAAAAAAAATTCATTTAATATTTTGTAACATTTTTTAAATTGATAGATAGTTAGATTTTGTAGGGGAAGGTAAGATTCTTTGTGGTAATAATGGTCGTTGAAATTAAAATGAATGTAAGATTTGTGGAGAAATTGTATAAATTTGCATAGTGTTAGATTCAGAATAGGAGCATATGAGCCAGTGATTGTGTCTAATGTTTTTAAGGTGCTAATTGGAAGTAGAAAAGAAAAAAATTTGTTGCAATAACATCATATTGCAAAAAAGTTTTTAAAATATGATGTATGAATAAGAGTATGATTGGTATAGATTTGGGTTGTATAAATGTGATTGAACAATTGTTAATGGAAAGTTCAAAAACTTGGGTGCAATCAGAACTGATTGCACCCAAGTTTTTGAACTTTGTATAAGGAATTGTTGGCTATGATGTACTGATCATGAATCAGTACATCATAGCCAACAATTCCTTCGCAAACAGCGGGAAACTTTGTCTGAATAGTTTAACATTCAGACAAAGTTTCCCGCTGTCGAAGGAATGGAAGGGTAAGAGGTATATATTATGTATACCTCTTACCCTTTCCATTCCCTCGAGAAAGTTCAAAAACTTGGGTGCAATCAGAACTGATTGCACCCAAGTTTTTGAACTTTGTATAAGGAATTGTTGGCTATGATGTACTGATCATGAATCAGTACATCATAGCCAACAATTCCTTCCCAAACAACCCGAAATTTGTCTGATTCCACACTAATTTTATTAATTTATCTAAACTTTTATCCTCGTCTACAATTTAATCATCAATAATTATCTCTTGTTCTATTTCACTATTATATATATATATATTTATATGATTTGATTTAAAAAAAATAAATAAATAAATTAATAAATCATTTACTCAAATATATCAAAAGTTTTATTTTATATATATAAAGATAACTACTTTTAAAAAAAATACCCTATATATTTTTGCCATGTAAACTTGTCATTTTTGTCAGAAGTGAAGTGAACCGAATTTTCATGCACAACATTGACTCACGAACGACAAACAATATTGTCATAAAGAACTATAGTTCAGAGTGTTTGAAAGAAAAAGAACCAGATTTTAAGTCGGTGAATTTAAACTCAGCTTCAAACGCTAACGCTACATCAGATGTTAAGTTAGAGTATCCACCACTGGACCAAATTCTTTCAAGAGAAGCCAACGACAACCCTTACACAAATGTTCAAACAAATCCTTCAGATAACGAAGACCATTACCTTCTTCAGTTGTATCAAACTATCTTACTCAAAGACGATAAGAAGCTTTTGACAAATCTTATAAGCAAGAACCAAATAATTCTAACAAAGGAGGACCTTGAAAATGTTATATCACGAATAACAGGGAAACAATGTGTCATTGACTATCTCGACCCTGAAATCGAATGCTGTGGTCAAACGCCAATATTCATGAAAATAGGTAACATCCGCATCATTGAAACACCAGGAACTACAGGAGTTGAGTTTAAGTATAAATATTCGAACGAGTATACAAAACTATCTACTGACTATAAGCTTTGTTTGAAATATGTTTTAGTAAATTAAAGCAGTCAGGAGGGCTCCTTGAGCCCATCTTGGCGCTTTGCGCCGTCAGTCAAAAAATTTCAAGTTAGCAATTTGTAATATCTATCCAAAACTTCTTCAACAGTATCGAACTCATCTTCATAATGCAAACCTAATCTTATTGACTTGGTGCAGTTTTCACTAACACAATGTTTTTCTGTTCTCTTGACTGACATAACTAACTCATTTGTTTCATCAAACAGCAACAACCAAAGTTCATGACCTAATACATAACATTCATACTTTATATTTTTAGCTCTGAGTTCTCTTGTAAGCTGTTGCATTTAATATTTTCTAAAAAGTCAACTTCAACAGTCATTCGCACTGGTGCCTTCAGTTTTACAGGCTCTCCTTGAAAGTCAACAAGTCTGAATTGCATGTCTTTCAAATTATGAGGACTAATGCGAACCCATTTACCTAAATGAGTTGCTATGACAGGAACGTTTGGAATGAACATTGAATTGACTGCATAACAGAAGGATTTATATTCTACTGAACCTTTACTATTAACTCCTGAAATACCTGTGACATTAGCTATTTTTGACTCAATGTATAAACAATTACCATAACATACATATGGAACAGATTTCATCTCAATCGTTTTGTCAACACTTTTCAAAGGAAATGTCATATGGTATGCACCCAAAAGAAGTTGTACTCTATGACTCATTCGTGTTATCTTAAACTCCTTCGCATAACTGAACTTCAATGTTCCCTCAGAAGAGAGTTCGACATCTATGTTGTCAATAGTTTCTTCATTTATGAGAGTATCTATGACTCCAGCAATTTTATCTATTCTATACCCAGCTCTGTTAGGAAATGTTATAACACTTCTTTTGTCATCTATTTCAATCTCCATGAAATCTGTTTCATCTGTTATGACAAAAGTTGCGATAGTATTGAAGTCAACAACTCTGAAAGCAAGCGCTTCATTCTGAAGACCTAAGTTTGTTTGTAGCTTTACTGTCCCGTATTCGTTTGGGTCTGTACTTTGCAAATAGAACAACATTTTATTCTCATTAAAATATGACTATTGCTGCATATGCGTATGAAACAAATGATATTCTTGGCTCAGTATCAGACATGCATGAAGATTGGCTTAAAGGTATTGATAAATCTTTAAAAAATCACAGTCAGTCTATTGCTGACTACAAGAAAAGTATAGATTTTTTACATAGTGCTATGGACGTACATGATGGAAGCATAAGGAACTTACTTAATGCTAACAATAACTTACCAGGAACTATTAAAGCATTTATAAAGTCCTTTGTAAAACCCGGTGCTCTAACATTTAGGTCTTTGAGAGCAAGAGCATTGAAGTCAAGAGATGCAGAAACTCCAACAGAAGGAACTGAAACAACAGAAACTCCAGAAGAACCACCAAAACCAACAGCTAATGAAATATTGTTCGAATATTTTCCAAGGTACTCTGTTCTCATTGCATACATTCAAGAAATACTTAAGAAAGCAGACTTGACTTTAGGAGATGATGAAAGTTCTGTATATCTTTCGTTCCAGTTTCAAATAGCAGAACTTTTGAGACAGATATGCTTAATGTATGACAACATCTCTGATTTCACAAGATATGATGACGACCATGACCCCGAACACGGTGAAGAAGAAGTTTTACAAACATCCATTAAGACAGGAAAGGTTTTAACTCAAAATCTCATTATTGACACCAAAGATGGCGAAGTGGACGTTCTTCAAGAGCTGAAGAAAAATACTTCTTCGGGAGGTGGTGGTAGGCATGAACTTGAAATAAATGAGATAGAAGAGAAATTAGCCGAAAAAGCAGATAAAAACCATGTTCATTATATAAGTTCAGATGAACAGATTATAACGGATACCATGGATATTTAACACAGGATGAAAAAGTGAAGACGGAAGATGTTAATGAAAGAAGATATAAATTCATTCGTGCTGAAGGTTATGACATACGCTGTACTGTACAGTATGACACAGGTAAAGCACCAGAAGCATTTGGTTATAACGATGAAATTTATGCCTCTAGTTTCTTTGTTAACGGTGTATTAGTTGAACCAAGATTTATGTTGAGAGTTAAGGCAAAAATAACCGTTGAAGATGCTATTAAAAGTAAAGCTGACAAAGATGAACTTGACGCAACGAACAAAGTTTTGAAATCTCATAAACACAATATCTCCGATATAAATGAACTTCAAGCTACATTAAATAGTAAAGCAGACAAGAACCATACACATGAATCCTTCACTACTGTTAGAGCAGACGACATAATATTGAACTATACCCTTGGTTCAAGTGCACCTTTAGAGAATCCGAGTACAAGCGTAAAAGATACACTAAACTCCTTAAATAACAAATGTATAAATATCGAAGGTCATGTCAGAAACTTTGAAACATATAAACTACCAGCAATGTTAGATAAAAAAGCAGATAAAGAACATACACATAACTCCTTCTCAACTGTTGCTATAGAAAGTATTGAAGGAACGGTTGGCGGAACTGGTGGGGATGCATTATATTATAAACCTCCTAACTTTCCACAAGGTTTAACATCGAATGAAAACATAACAACGAAGAAAGAAATTAGCTGTAAAAATGTTTATGTCATGGATGATGAAAATAATGTTAAATTCACTGCTCAAGATTTATATGATAAGAAAGCAGACAAAACAGAGCTTCAAACATTAAAGACTGAAATACTTCAAACATTATATCCTGTTGGTTCTATTTATACGTCAATGAACTCAACAAATCCAGCAACAGTTTTAGGTTTTGGTACGTGGCAGCAGATTGTAGATAAATTCTTATACTGTGCTAACTCTTCAAAGCAAACAGGAGGTTCGAAGAAAATTAAAGAAGCAAACCTTCCACCGCACACTCATACAGGAACGACAAACTTTTCTGGCGACCATTGCCACTCATTAAGAGACCACCCATTATACAACTCAGAGTATGAAGCTGGCCATGACGTTTTATCTCCATCTTATAACAATTCAGCAAAAAAGATTTTTCGACAAACTGAACCGGGAGGAAATCATTCACACACTTTCACAACAAATCCAACAGGCTCGGATGCAGATTATATGCCACCATTTGTGACTATATTCGCATGGTACCGCGTTCAATGAACGCGCTTGAGCCTAGAATAAAATCTTTAACTTTACATAAATGAGCTTGAAAGAAGTATTCGAACAACATCCATGGAGGTCATTTAAGAAGTTCAATGAAGCTGCAAAGAGTTGGGGATTTACTAACAGAGCTGAAGTGAAAAGGTTCTTTGACAAAAATGTTGTACATCAAACAAAAATAAACCCTTACGACTACTTTTTACCAATTTACTCCAACACTCCTGACGCATACCAATTTGACACTCTCATTCAAAGCAGAAAAGGAGGACATAAACCATTCCTCATCTTCATTAATGTTAACACTCGTAAAGCACATGCATATCCAATGAAAAATAAAGGAACTCGTGAAGTGTTAAGAGTTTTACAAAAGTTTGTAGCAGAACATAGCCCAAGTACTTTAACATCAGACCAAGACAGTGCATACCTCAGCAATGAAATCACAGAATTTCTCATTAAGCATAACATAACTCACTACACTACTGAAGACCATAACCATAACATACTCGGCATCATAAACCGCTTCATAAGAACGCTCAGAGATTTAAATCAAGAGCGAGACTTTACCGAAGAAACAATGAAACATTTTCTCGAAGTATATAATTCCTCAACACATTCTACAACAGGACATACACCAAATTCAATGACACAACAACAAGAAGAAAAGTATATACAAAAGAAACGAAGCCAAACACAAAATATCAGAAATTCAACACAATTTACCCTCATTCCTGGTACAAAAGTTCGTGTAGTTCTTGACGACAAACCGTTGACAAAGAAATGTTTAAGGTTAAGTAGAAACTATTATATCGTAGACTCTACGCAAGGTAATGGATATCTTATAAAAGCTGCTGACGACTCTATTGCGTTTTACCCTCGTCACAAATTAGTCGAAAGTAGTAATGGCAAACTTGCTGAAACCATTGACGAAGCAAAGCGAGGAGTGGTTATTGAAATACTTGGCTACAACATAAACGATGACACTTATAAAGTAAGATATGAAGGAGGCGTTGAAGATGTTATACCATCTAAGAACTTGAGAGAGTCAAAGCCAACACATCTGGGACCATTAGAGCGGGAGTACTGGAAAGACAAAAATAAGCCAGAAAGAATAAGAAAATTCTTCTAAACTTTTTCATTAGATGTAAATCAGACATGAATAAGAAAATTCTTCTAAACTTTTTCATTAGATGTAAATCAGACAAAAATAATGTTTAGGTGAAGAGGTGAGATCTCACCCGTTTTTTCACCTGTTTTTTCACCCTCACGAATTTTCACGAATTTTCATGAATTCCCTTAAGATAGAAAAATAAAGTTAGTTTTATTTTTATTTATTTTTTTATTTTGTATAAAAGATATGATTTCAACAATCGGCACAACAACAATTCAAACAACTACAGCACCAAACTCGTTAGTCATGAATCCTACGTCAATGTTGGTAGAGATGAAAAGCTTTATTCCTTCTTCATATACTTTTGAAACAGAAATCCAGAAGATAAAGCAAGAACTTTTAACAAGTAATTTAGACTGTAGTGCGAAAGATGAAACAAATGAACAGTATCTTTATGAAATGGAGGACCTCATCGACCATTTGCCTAAACTACCTGAAATTCAGCAGCAAAAACTAACTATTCCTGAATTCGACGAAATTGAAGTCAAAGCAACTGACTTAGTAGAAATTAAGAAATTCATACGTAAAGTAAATTATGAGTTTCTAGGATATCATTGCAATCATAAAGTTATGGACAAAGATTGCTACATGGTTTATAAAAATATTTCTGACCTTTACAAATCCGAAGAATTTAAGACATACGATAACTTTGTTTCATTAGTTGCAAAATGTGTATGGCAGATAAGAGATAAAGATAGAAGAGGTAAGGTATGGAATGAACAGATAAAACCAGTAGCTTTTGAGTTAAAGAAAACCATTGACGGCTTAGTTGTTCTAGCTGGTTTTATTTCAATGTATAACGCAAAAACGATGCCGCAATGTTCAAAATGTAAAGCAGCAATAAGAAAATATAACTACTCAGTCAAAGAGATAGAAAGAATGCGAAACGACTATGCAGACTTAAAGAAAGAAGCAGAAAAGCCAGCAGAAGATAAAATGGATATGTTGACATTTCTTAATAAAAACTATCCAACAGCAGAAGATTTCCTTCTGTCTGACGTCAAGAAGAAATATAAAGAAACCTTCGGCATTGTTAAAACTTTTGATGTACTAAAAGAAGAAATAGAAGCTACGAAATTGTTTAGGATTTCAAATATACATCGTACAATTCATGTAAAACGCTTGTGAAAAATTAGGTGAAAAAACAGGTGAGATCTCACCTCTTCACCTAAAAATTATTTTTGGTCAAAGCTTCCACGAGAGAAAAGATTTCTCATTCGCTAAGGATTCCAAAAATGAAAAAATCATTGATTTCGGCTGAGAAAAAAACAGCAAAACCCTTCTTCCACGGGAACAAAGAAATAAAGAAGAAATAAAGTAAATTTTTTATTTATTCCCGTGGAAGATAGAGCACTTTTATTACACTTTTTATTCACGACAAACAAGACAAACAAAGAAAATAAGAAAATACGGCGCTGTCGCGGTTCAAACCACAGACCCTGACCCCTCCATAACACCACCTTAGACCACTGTGCTACGTAGCCTGTCGACATAAGATTTTATAAATTGCATATTTGACGTAAATTTATTTCCATCTGGCTTCCCACCGCAGAAGATATTCATACGTGTTTGTAAGACATTCATTAAACTTCTTTTCTATTGCATCTAATCTTGCGTTATTTTTTTCAATAACTTGTCTGTATTCTTCATCATTGTTAACCAATTTTATCTACAAATTTTATTAGTGTTTGATTCACTTCGTTATGATAACGGTCATATTCTTTCAATACGTAAGTGAAGACAAAATGCGTCGTACCTTCAATCTTAAAGCTTAAAGAACTTTCAACACAGTTTTGAGGGTCTGTCAGTGCGTCAATGAGATAGTATTCGAAGTCAATCAATAATCTTTTTAAAGTCATTTCATACAGGATAAAATTTAATGTTGTGAAGAAATAGTGTTTATCTCAGAAAAATAACGCTAATTTTATTTTTATTTATTTTTTTATTTTGTATGTAAAGACAGTAATGACAACATCAGAGAACACAACAACAGTTATAGTCCATGAAGCTATAAATGAAGAATATGAGTACATACAGTATAACAAACAGTTACGTCTCATTCGTTCAGTCAAAGATGACATGTACCAAATGCAAAGTATAATGAATGCTCTTCGTTCTCAAAGCAAGCATATCATTGGTTTGAAAAACCAACAGACAAAAGAACTTTTAGAAGAATTTCCTCATATGATTGCTTCCCTCGGAAAACCGAGAGAAGAGATTCCGTACGAAAATCGCAAGAATTTGGCTCCTGGTTTGAAAGGTTATTATGTTCATAGACTTTTAGTAAATGCTGTAGCAATGTGGGCTTCACCTCGTTATGCTTGTTATATTTTCATGATGTTAGATGAACTATATAAAGCAGAACGTGGAGAGATGGAAAAGAAACTTCAAGCAAAAGATGAAGTCATTGAATCCAAAGACAAAAGCATACAGAAAAGAATACCGCGTTCAGTACCAAAAGGAAGGAAAAGAGTTATAGGTATATGATTTATACTGAAGAGTTGGAGAAAAGAAGAAGATAAAGATATGGTTATGTTGCATTTAGTCAGAAGAAACAACAAGAGTTTTTATGACTTAGCTAAAATATATAAATCTGACAGAAACTGGTTCTATCGTGAAAACTTACCGATTTCAATGACACCGAATGAGCAAATAAAGGAAATTGTCAAAAATACTCTTCCTCAAACACACTATGACATCAAAGGTTGCACAATACTTACATTCAAAGAAGACTTAACATTACTGAAGGAAAATATAACAGAATATTTCGATAACTTCAAAGAGGAAGAATAAAAAAATCTAAGCTAATTTATTTTTTATAAAATTTTATCTCATATGAAAGAACATGAATTTAGAATATTCAGAAACTCTTGACAGAAGAGGAGAACAAACAGCATGTAAAAGATTATGCAAAATTTCTGAAGACATACAAAGCATTTAAACAATATCTAAATGCTTCTAAAGATTATGCAAAATTTCTGAAGGTATATAAAGCTTATGAAAAAGCGTATGAAAAGTTTATACATTGGGGAATTGTTGTAAAATATCGATATGAAGACTAACCAAAAATATATTTTTGCTTAAATAGCTTCAGGGTCTATTTCTTCAACCATTTCACTTCCTTCGTCAATGTCAATAGAAGCTTCTTCAACCTTTGGTAAGAATTTCTGTAAACATCTTTGTTCGTTATTGTCTTCAGAGATGAAGGATAATATTTCACAGATGTTTCACCCTTCTTATATTCTTTCTGTTCGGAAAGATTTAAAGCAATACTGAAGAAGTCAATATTAGAGTTCTTATAACAGTATAATGAGTATCTTTGACATTCACGAAGAAACTCTTTTGTTTCAAAACTACTGCTAACTCTTGTGAAGTATAACGTTTGCGTCAATGACGATAGCTAATGGTCTGACTACTGACCAAACTTAGATTCTTTCACAAACTTCTTGTTAAAGATAACATAACATTTGAAGCATTATTGAACTCATTCTTGATGGCAGTAGCGAGAGCATTGTATGAAAAGAACTTGCAATTGCATGTGTTTCATTAAAATAAAAATATTAAATTATTTTGAAAAATAACTTAAAAAATCTAATCTAATTTTTTCAAAAAATATTTTTTTTATTTCCTACTAAAGATGTATCGGAAGTTGTTAAGTTAGAACACTCGGAAATAAAACAACTTCTTACGAAGCTAATATAGATGTTGCAAAGCATTACGCAACAAACAAAAAAGCACTCGCTGACTTCATTATTAAAGACTATAATGGTGCAATAAGTATGATAGAATTCATGAGTTCATAAAGCTGCAACGCGGCCGAGGACGAAGTCCATGCAAGAGCATTTCCTTTAAATGACGTTGCTATTGACTTATATCATAGACGTTCAGTACCTCATGAAGTAAGAAGAGAAATGTTTGACATAACAAATGCAAACGTTGGTGAAACAAGAAGAAGAACGACACACTGAAACAACAGAGAAGAGAGATGTTTAAGAGCGCTATAGAACAAGTTCGCAAAGCTAACGATGTCCTTCGTTCCATTGACGACAAACCAAAAGAAGGTGAGAGATGGTTAAAGAAAGATGAAGAGAATAGGAAGAGAAATGTGAAGTCAGGCAATAGACTCATTGACTTTAACATCGAAGCTTTAGATGAACCAAACAGAGACTACTTACACAAACATTTCGGTAAGGTTTTCATGAAACTCTTAGAGAAGATTAAATAAACTCCCAACAAAGATGGATGGTATGTTATAAACTTGGTGGAAAGTATGAATGTTCTACGTTAAATCTCAATAATATTGGAACATTACTACATCAGCTCTTGAAGGAGAACTTTATATCAGAGATAGAAGCAAATGCTGCAGGTATTGTTGAAATGCACTATGACTTCTTCTTGACAAACATAAAGAATCTTACCGAAATAAAGATGTATGATTTTAACAGAATATGAAGGCTTAACGATGTCAGATGTAAAGAAAGGAAACAAAAAAGAGACCATATAGAGATGAAAGCACACTGACAAATGACCAGAAAGCCATTTGAAGCTCTTAAGCAAACAGGAAACCAGCACTTATAGAAAGCTTTTGGAAAGATAATGGTGAAAGAAGTTTTATAAGAAGAGAAGCGGTCAGTTCTGGAAGTATCTTTGCACATTACCTATAAATCTTGAACGCTACAAATCTTCAATGAACTGAACAAAAGAACTGCAGCACTTATGACAGAAGACAATTGTTTCGTTTATGCTTGCATTCAGGCTGGAGTAGATGGAGAGACTATTGACCACATGAGAGAAATCATTCGTGTTAGAGACTTTCTCAAAGTAAAGTACAAGAAATTTCTGACGCAAGGTATAGCATTTAATGTTACCATTGTTACTTCAATGACTCAAGACATAATGAAATAAAGAGATACATACCAAAGAATGTGAAACTGTTAGAACTATTGACTTACTTCTTGTTGAAGACCATACATGCTAAATGAAAGATTACAATGACAACATATTCATTCGCAACTATATAGAAATTCTCAAAGCGTGTGGTGGAATGAAATTGAGAAACAGATGAAGATTTATACAAAGAGAGAGAAAAATATGTAGTTCGTTATGATAGAACAACACCGTTATGGGATGTTATGAAAACATTGTGGGAGTGCAAATATTTCGAACCTATTTTTATGGAGAACTTTCACATATACGACTGATTATATAAACAGAACCTTGCACCATTTAAAGATTTGACATATGCTCCAAAGTATTGTGTACAACTGAAGAAGAAAGCAGAGTCAAAAGAAGTAAATAAAAATAAGTGCAAGTTCATTCCTGAGCACGTTTTCTTTGCTGACTTTGAATGTAGACAGACGGCTTTCATAAAGCTTTTAACATATGTTACGACAGTGAAGATGATTCAGTGAGTGAAAGCATTTGGGGTCAGAACTGTGCAACAGAATTTTTGGAACGACTTCCTGACAAAGAGTTTAATTATTTCCATAACCTCAGTTATGATATAAACTTCATCTTAAGACACATGACAGAAGTGAAAGGAATCCCATCATTAAAGGTTCACGAACAATGCAAATAACTGGCTTATATAAAGGAAGGGCAATTATTATAAAAGACTCTTACAGTGTTTAAATAAGAAGCTTAAACTATTTCCTGCTATGTTTAACTTACAAACAGGACGAAAGAAGTATTTCCATACAACTACTAACAGCAGTGTTTTGTTAGCAATGACAAGAACTGGTGTCATTTCTGAAGCATGTAAGTTTGTAAAAGATATTGATACGTTCATGAAAAACATAGATTCCATCAAAGGTTGCAGAATAGATGAGAACCACTTCGACTTAGAAAGTATAGCACATTTTATTGCAAAAAGATGTAAGAATTTTAAGAGAAGGTTTTGTTAAGTTCCGCAATGACATTTGAAAGAATTTGATTTAAACGTTTTGACTACGTTAGTATTTGTTCAATTGCTAACAAATTGTTTGAGAACAGAGTGTACTTCCCGAATGGAATTTATATGACCTCTCAAATAAACCAAGAGAATTTATTTCACGCTGTATTCAAGGTGGAAGATGTATGCTGTCAGATAACATGAAACAAAAAGAGTAAAGAGAAACTCATTGCTGATT